TTGAGGATTGCGGCGTCTGCAATCCCCTTTTTTCCTGGGGCGCGCTTGCCATTGCCCTGTCCTTCCCGCCGACGAAGACCTGATCTACCTGAATGTCTGAGAGCTCCAGCACAAATACGTACTTCTGGAAACCTGTGCCTTTGCCTTTGCCTTCTGGAAAAGGTGCCGTTGTTCGCCTCGATGAACCCACGTACCTTACGAGTATGATGTTGCATGCGTCTGAGCCACTGCCGCCTGGAAGTCTTCAGCTGTGGGCGCCCACGCGGCGACAGGATAGGCTGCCTGCGGCGGCGCGGCGCCCTGCGACGGGCCAGTAGCGCACGCCATGGCACCTCCGGCACAAGGAAGCTCGGCGGCGCGGGCAGCCCAGGGTTCGGGGCCCTGAGTGTGCCAGGGGTCCCCTACATGTGTGTCATTGCTGTTGTCATTGGCCATGCCCGCACAGCCCCCGCGCGACTTCGGCGCCCGAAAAACGCTGGCGATGTTGTTTTGCGCATGCTTCACGATGTGACCCAAGTGCCTGAGCATAGTCACGAGCCCGTTGAACTCGGCGTCCGTGGCTGGGCATCGGTTGCCGCAGGGCTGGAGCAGCGCCGTGAGCTGGCTAGCTGCGACGCCGACCGAACTGAGGAGCAGCCAGCCTCAGCCTTCCCAAGACATCGCAGCGCCCCCTCGTGCGTAGCTCGGAATCGCAGCGTAAGAAAACGCGAAAGCAGCGCTTCGGCGGTTTCGTTGCGGCGCCTCGGGAACTCGAAGAGTTCGCAGGTAGCCTGGGGGCGCGACTCCTCGCCGAGTGGACCGAACTGTGTGGCGAGGTTCGCGATAAGGCATGTCACGGCATCGTTGTGCTGGCCGTTGACCATACCTCCCTCCGTCACTTCAGTGAAATCCATGGAACGCGTGAGCTCGAGAGCAGCCCTACCGAGGTTGAGGATGACACCAGTGCGTTGCGGGACGCTGCCCACGCCGGTGGCTAGCACGCTCCAAGCGAGCAAGTCCTGGTCCCAGCGGCGGAAGGAATACATGGACGCGAGCTCGGGTGATCATGAGGGCGGCTGGCAGGAAAGGATCGCACCGCGGCCGCCGCCGCCCTGTGAACCAGCTCCACCAGGCATCATGCCGCTGAGCCAGAACAGGACTGCCACGAAGAACGCGAGGATGTTGGCCCACAGCGTTAACATGGACATCCTTGTCGATAAGACCTCACCATGGTGATGGCTACGGAGGCGTTTTGGGGCTCGGGCCTGCGCAGGGACGAACGCCATGTCGACGAACGGGGCAGCCAGGATGATGCCGTCAACCTTGGTCGAAGCCGAGGTCCGTGAAACTGGTACGTCAACCTTCAATTGTCCACTCGGGTGGTGCGATGTGCTGACACGGACAGCCAACACTATCGCACACGTACCTCAGCACGGCGCTAGCCCAAGGAGGAGCCTCGCAGTCATACCCATCGCGAAGCTGCGGTTTCTTCTTGCGGGGTTGCGATGGGTCCAAGAACGTGGTAGCGTTCCTGCGGTCGAACCGCTCCTCATCGCAGTGGCAGCTTCTGCTGCTGCCCTCGCAGCCGGACCAGACGTACGGGGCGAATTGCCGGTTGGCTTGCAGAACAGCCAAAAGCACGGGCTACTCAAGGAATGGAGGAGGGTACCGATGCGGAAGTGAACGTGAATGCGCTCCATACCGCACTATGCGCACGTTCCGTGGATCGCGAGTTGTGATCGCTCCTGGCTCCGCTACCAACTAGAATTGCGAGGGGTGAAAACTGTACAAAAGAAAGCATGGCGGCAATGAGATGATGATTGCGGTGTTTAACCTCTCGTACATTATACAGGTACGCGACGCCGCTGAAGCCAAGCGGCGGCAGAGTATCCTATTTGAGTGAGGAGGAGGAGGTAGAAGAAGAAGAAGAAGAGGAGGAGGAGGAACATCACCATGACCCGCCGACACCATGACCAGCATTGCAAGACCAGGGGCTGAGCTTCAGCAGCACCATCGCCAGGTTCAACCGCTCACAGGAAGCCCTCGGTCAATGTGCAGCCTGGCGCGAACAGCGCGCAGACCTACGCGGCCAGCCCACCGCCGAAACGGGGGCCGACGACCCGCAGCAGCGCGTTAACCCAGACTCCCATGCACAGCTGGCGCTGACGCATAACGACCACCAGCCGACGCCAGCGGTAGTCCACACGACAATGACCGACCACGACGCAGCTACGCCTGCCTACGACTCCAGCCCTCCCAACCAACCTGGAGGGGAAGCTGTACCGACCACCAACCCTCAAGGAGGGGGGTACGAAAACCCCACAGACCTGCAGGACCAGCAGGCCCACAGCTCTGAGACGGCCACTGCGATCGAAGCAGACAGAGGGTGGCAGCCGTGGCCACCCTCGGGTATCGCCTACCAGCTCGAATACAACACTGCGGCGCATCAAGGGACTGCCCCCTGATCGCAACCGCGAGGCCCAGCCTCAGAATTGGATCGGCCGAACGGCGACCCATCAATGCGTCACCACTCCTCACATCTCAATGTTGACCACTCTTGCTCCGTGACAGACAGGAGACTGCACAAGCTGCTCCACTCCAACTCCACATCTCGTCACTACCCTTATACCCAAAGGCGCGCTCACCGATGATCACCAGCAGCAGCACAGCTGGTAGCAGAAGTCCGCCACCTACTTTCCCCACGACGGCAGCACCTTGCGCAGACGACCAGCTACGCAGCACAGCATACAGCGAGAAGAACGACAACAGCTATGATATGCTGTGGGTGCCCCCGAGGCCTTCTCACCCACACATGCTACGTTATCCGACGTACTCGAGTGGGCCCCTACGGGGCATTCTCAATCACAGGAGATGGCAGTGGGTCCCCGTGGGGCTTTCTCACCCACGAAAGTGTTACAAAATGAGGGCCTCCACCAACCTCTAACCTTCACTCCCTCCCGGCTCATCTCTTGCAGCCCCCTCCTCCCGCTTTTCCACGCTAATCTCCTACCATCCCTCCTTTTGTGACGGCGGTATGGGGCGGATTATCGGATGGGGGGGATTGGGAAAGGACTCACCGCTGGCCGTCCTGGCAAGGGCAAAGGCGGCCGCGGCCGCACCAGAGCTGGCAGCAAGTCACGTCATCTTTCGAAGGCCTGGCGCCGTCAACACTAGTATGACGTGCAACCAATAACCGTTTCGCCGCCACTTTCACTGATGTACGCCACTCCTCTCAGCAGCCTCAGCTACTCATCTCGCCTCCCTCATCTCAGCGGACCAGTTACCGCCGCGATCTCCCCCACCTTTTCACCGTCGCCTGCAGCCACGACCCTCGGTCGCGTGCTCACGCCAGCTGACGGAGGGGTCGGGTTCAGGTCTTGGAGGGCCGGGCGGGTGGGGGCCTACAGTACCTTCACCGCGCCGCCGCCCCGGATGGCATAAACCTCCCCCAAGCACGGAGGACCCCCCCCTCAGGCGGCCACCACCCCAAGCGGTCTCGGTACCCCACTTCTGCGTGGCAGGGGAGGGCATCTGTGGTGGGGGTGGTGGACGCCTCGGGGGGGGTTCCGATGTGCAGGCGAAGGGACCCTTATGCCTTCCACATGGGCGAGGTGTGGCCGTCCGCTCTAGCGAGAGTGGCCACATGTGGCCACCCTCGCCACCGCCAGAAGGAACAAGACTCCCTCAAGCTCGGTGGAGCCTTCCACGACGGCCCCGAGGTCAATGCACCGGGAACGCTACGCCTGCCTGCAGGTGAGGGATCCCGTCTTTGACCTCGAGGACGCCTGTGGAGGGTTGCTATGAGCAGAGGAAGAGGCTCATGGGCCTTCCCACTTTGGCGAGCGTGGCCGCGGGTCGCGACCGCCACACTGCGCACTGCTGAGCCAACCCACCGCTACCTCCTTCACCTGCCAGCTTTTCGCATGACTGCCACCGTTCTCCCCCCCGCCTCTGCCGCCACCAGCTTTCTGCAGACGCAGCCACGCACCGGCTGCACGGTCTCGCTGCGCGCAGCGCCCCGCTCTCCCAATTTTCACAGCTCCCTCGCAGCACCCAACCCGTCAAAGTAGGGCACCTCAAGAGAAGGGGGACCCAAGGCGCCCTCCAGGGCGCGCTGGCCCGAGGAGGCCGATAAACCCGAGGTGGGAAGACCCGGCACAGCCAAAACAACAGTGCGGCCCCAGCACGCCACAGCCACTACCGCCGCACCGAGCTTTCCCCCTCCCTTCTCCCCCCCCCCTCCGAGGTCATGTTGTTCTTGGTCTTCTCTGCTCCTTCTCGCTGCCTTTCAATCCCTGGTTTACCTTTACAAGCCGCTGGTGACCCCTGGAGCGGTGCTCCGAAGGATCACCTGGCCCTGATCTGATCAACCCCCCAGGGCCCGCCGGCCCAGAGGGGGGAAGGGCTACGGACGTTCTCTCCAGCCATCAGGAATCATAATCAGGAGGAGGAGAAAGAGGAGGAGGAGGAGGAGGAGAAGGAGGAGGAGGAGGAGGAGGAGGAGGAGGAGGAAGAGGAAGAGGAGGAGGAGCAGGGGAGTGGTGTGGGGGGGGGGGGGGGGGGCAATCCACGGTCGGGAACGTTTGGATAGCGCGTCGCCAGGGCGGCCCCGGCGACACGCCATGCCTTGCAAGCGGATAACGCGTCGCTCCGCTCCGCGGGGCGGAAAAACGCTCGGGACGTTGGGGCCTGGATACTGGGAGGTGGATGGTGCGTCGCGCTCAAACGTGGTGGGCCAGAACTGGCTGAGCGACACGCCATCCAAAAGATCCCGACTGTAGGTGCGCTCGCACTGCATCTGCATCACACATATCCCATCCCTCTTGTGCTGATTTTCATATATCCGCCGACGGGTCTCATAGCGGACCTGAAACCCTCGACCCCGTCGTGCCATGCGCAGCCAGAAAAGGAGAGCTGTGTACACTGGAGGCGGCGGAGGACGAGCAGGAAGGGGAGGAGAAGGAGGAGGAGGCAGGTCGACTCTCACTACGAGTACCTGTGGTTTGGGCTGCCACGATCGCCAAACCCCTCCGCGATCTCCGCGGAGCAGTGGCCACAGCCGCTCGCCTGGCACGTCCGAAGCCAGCCCACCTCCCCGAGCTGCACGAGGCCGTCAGCCAGGCCCCGCGCAACCAGAAGGACGAAGCGCTCGCGGGCGGCACACAAGAGGGGGGCAGTGCGAGAGGGACCGCCCTCCTCCTCCTCCTCCTCCTCCTCCTCCTCCTCCTCCTCAGCCTCCTCCTCAGCCTCCTCCTCCTCATCATCATCATCAGCAACAGCACTAACATCATCATCCTCATCAGCAGCAGCATCATCATCATCATTAACATTATGATTATCATCCGTATCATCATCAGCAGCAGCATCTGCATCAGCAGCAACAGCAACAACATCATCAGCATCATCAACAACATCATCCTCATTAACATTATCATCAATATCATCATCAGCAGCAGCATCAGCATCAGCATCGTTACCATCATCACCACCATCATCAACATAATCATCATCAGCATCATCATCAGCATCATCACCAGTATCATCACCATAATCATACTCAGCATCAGCGTTGTCATCATCACCGTTATCATCATCACCACAACCACCATCCTAGTTGCCAGCATCATCATCATAGTTGCCATCATCAGCATCATCATCACCGCCGCGCGCGCACGTCGAACTCCTTCCAAAGTATTCATCACCGACTCGAGGACGCCGTCATCGTCGCCGGCGTGATCAGCATCGGCGCCGTCATTGGCCTTACCGTCGTCATCGCCACCTTCGTCACCATCGCTGCTCCCATAGTCGTGCCTACCGTTGCCAGCGCCGCCATGATACCGCGCCCGCCCAAGTCACCGACTCGCACTGAAGTGCCCGCTTGGATGTGCCCAACGGTCAGCGCCACCGCGGCCGCGTCGGTAGCGCCAAACTAGCAAGCCGCTGTGCGCGCGAGCATGCGCGGGCCAGCGTGGCCGCAGAGATGCACCAGCCAACGCCAAGCACTCATCGCAATCGCCGCCGCATGGGTTTTGCAAACCAAGTTGCGGGTGGGTGGGCGAGATGTGTTCAAGAGCATTTGGGGTGGTCAAGCGCGATGCAGGGTAGTCAATTGCACAACAAGATTGTTCAACGCATATTGTACAACATCGATTGCTCTACACAGGTTGCACAACATATGTTGCTAGAAACACACCGTTTGGGGCCCACGCTGGCTTGCATCCCTTGCAAATACCTCCCTGCCGCATCCCCAGACAGGTCAATACAGCCGAAAATGCGATCGAGCAGAGTACAATGTATGTTAGAAATCTGGACCAGCTGCGGGAAAGTGCTTTCTGTTGTTAACGCTGGAGAAGCGAAAATGCCCAAGAAACTGCGCCAGTTTTCCTGATAACAGGTTAAGGAACGCTGATCCAAATTATCGGCAGGGGATTCAGAATCAGATGCTCGACTTTAGGGCGGGCCAGGCGTTCCGCCTGAGACTTCCTCACCACTTGCGGTCCTGAAGCATGCATTTGGCAAAAGTTTCACGGATGCAGGGCGGGTCGTCTTCAAAATGTGGCTCTCGCCTTAGATCCGCGCCCATTGGTCCTAAAAGTTGGCAGCAGCTTCAAAAATGGAGGGCGGCTTCTTTTCAAAAGTTAGCTCTCGCCTTAGCGCCGCGAACACGCGTCTTGAAAGTTTCCAACGGCTTCAAGGATGAAGGACAACTGGTTTCAACATGTGGCTATCGCTATGGCGCCGCGCACATTTGCATAAAAAGTTCGCAGCAGTTTCAAACACGGAGGGCGATTATGTTTCAATATGTTGCTCTCGCCTGGGCGCGGCGCACGGGCGCAGTGTTTGGCATTGCTTTGCATTGCTTGGTATTGCTTCGCATTGCTTGGCATTGCCTAGCATTGCTTGGCATTGCTTGGCATTGCTTGGGGAACCCTGGGAAACCCAAGATCCCGAGGAACCTGGTGAACCCGAAGAACCCGGGAACCTGGCGAACCCGAGGAACCCGAGGAACCCGAGGAACTCGGGGAAGGTCCGGGGAACGGGCAAAGTTGGGTTCCGAGACACATTAGGCAGGCCGAAATGGGAGAAAAGATGCTACTGCTACAAGGATTCGTATGGTTACAGTCCCAGGAATTGAATTCTGGCACGGCTTATGAGCGTCAGGACGTACTAGTTACGTTGATTCGCGGTGTGAAGTCCCAGGAACGGCGATCTAATACGATTTAGGATTGCCAAGACGCAACAACCAAGTTCATCCGCGTGTTCTGGCACGCTGCAAGATTCTACGACCCGTATCTTCTACTGAGCCACTTCCCGCAATGAAAACACATTCTTGTAGGAATCCATGCAGAGGGAACTTGGAGGGAGGGTTTATTGCATCATCGTCGATGCATCTTCGGTTTGCACTCTGCCTCCTCATCCTCCTCATCCTCTTCTCCTCACCCCTCATTCTCCACAGCCTCCTCTTCCACCTCCTCCTCATCATCATCACCACCATCTGGAGCCACTGGATGAGAAGAAGGAAAGCCATCTCCGAAGGCAGGTTGGCGCAGCCAAAATGGGGACGGAAAGCGGGGACGATGCCCAACGGCAAACGTTGTCCAGTATCGGCGGCGGCTGCTGTTGGGCAGGCAATGTTCGTCCCGAGTGGACAACGCCCGCGGCGATAGCGGCAACGAATGCTGCTCAGAGTGGGCAGATGCTGCTGTCGGTCTCAGTCCCCGTCCCCGGCCGTGGAGGAAGAACAAAACTGCATAAACAGAAAATGGTGAAGGTCCGCGCCAGAGGGGTCCAGCACGGATCCAAGAAATCTGCGCGGACTGTCCAAAAGCTTATGCACGTGCCGTTTCCTCGTGACTTCCCTGTGGGCTGGGCAGCGGGCTGGCCACCGGCAGCGGGGGGGGGGGGTCGCTGCTCTGGAGCGGCGGCCCGCCGCGCCGACGGCTTCTTTCGACCTGAAAAGACCAGCCGCGAGCGCACCAGCCAGAGGCCTGGAACAACTCGGCGGGAGGCCTTCAGGCTTGTCCCACAAGACCGGCGCGGCCTGGGACACGGGAGGTTGAGAGCGCTCCTGCCCCGCGCGCCCCGCCCACGCTGCCGACGGCCGCGGGGCGGGGGCCGAGGAGGAGGCGGGGGGCCGTGCAGGCAGCCCCAGCAGGACGGACGCGCCCAGCCACGTACAGCCGAAAGCGCGAGCAAGAAAGCTGGGCCTGCTGCAGGGAAGTGTACCTCGGCAAGCGTGGGCCAGTGCCTGCTGTTCACGCTGGAGGGGTGGACCTGCTCAAGAGACTGGGCCAGCTTGAGGAACGCTGGCCCAGCTTTTCGGGGGGAGGTTTCTTCGTCTGATGCCCCTCAGGTCATCAAGATCGCCCTCGTGTCACGAAAGCTCGCGCAATGTGCTCTCTCGAAGCCCGTGTGAATTCATGCACGCGTACGCCATGGATTCGCTCCTGACTGCTGGGCTTCCAGAAAGCAGGGGGCCTCCAAAAGACGAACTGCCTTCCTCGAAGACTGCACGGCTTGCCTTAAGTCGGGAAAAACTAAAAACACTCAAAAAATAGTCCCCTGACTATTTTTTTGCTATTTTTGAACATTCCTCCTGTAGAGGGGCAGGTCCGACTTAAGGCTTGCCCTGCCCCCTTAGTGAAAACGGCGGCCTGGGACCGAAACCGACGGACCTGGACCCGCAAAAATGACGGCCGCGACGCCCTCTCGCGAACCGAAAACGGCCAATTCCTTAATCGACGTGTCAGGGCAGGAGGTCTGTCCACCTAGGCGGAGTCCAAAACCAAAAGGAGGTCTGTCCACCCCCGACCTTCCTCGAAGACCGCACGGCTTGCCCTGCCCCCTCCCTTGCGCGCCGCCGCGCTCGAGGACGCTGTCGGCGCGCGGATCCACGATCGCCGCCCAGCGGTCGATGACGTCGACGCTCCGCCCGTGGAGCTCCTCGCTCTCGGGAGCGCGTGGGAGTGGGGGTGGGAGGGGAGGGAGGAGGAGAAAGAGGAGGAGGAGGAGGAGGAGGAGGAGCAGGAGGAGGAGGAGGAGGAGGAGGAGGAGGGGGAGGAGAGGAGGAGGAGGAGGAGGAGAGAGGAGGAGGAGAGGAGGAGGAGGAGGAGGAAAGGAGGAGGAGAGGAGGAGGAGGGGGGAGGAGGAGGAGGAGGAGAGGAGGAGGAGGAGAGGAGGGGAGGAGGAGGGAGGCGGAGGAGGAGGAGGAGGAGGAGGAGGAGGAGGAGGAGATCCCGAGGAGGAGGAGGATCCCGACCCACCAGAGGTTGCTGCCTGTGGACTGACAGAAAGAGGAGTGGGAGGAGGAGGAGGAGGAGGAGGAGAAGCTCCGTAGCCATTTTGGCACGAGCTGTTTCTCCCGCTTCCCGCCATTGCCAATTCTGGCCAATGGCGGCGCTTGCTGGAGAGGATGGCAGCGGGGGGCCGCCGTCGGCGCTCGCGCGGCGGCCCAATGCGAGCCGAGGAGGCCGCACGGCTCGGGCCATCGGCCGCCTGGCGGGCAGCCCGAAGGCGGGCGCAGCGGGCCTGTGTGAGGAGGCACTCCGGGGACTGTCCGGGCGCTCAGGACCGCGAGCAGGCCTCACGCCAGGCCCTCCGCCTGGCAGCCGGGCGAACGCGCAGGCCCCGGGGCGGGAGAGACCCACACCGCCGACGGACGCCTTCGCTCTGCTGGCTGCCCCAGGTCCCCGCAGGTCCTCCTCCTCCTCCTCCTCCTCCTGCTCCTCCTCCTCCTCCTCCTCCTCCTCCTCCTCCTCCTGCTCCTCCTCCTCCTCCTCCTCCTCCTCCTCCTCCTCCTCCTCCTCCTGCTCTCCTCCTCCTCCTCCTCCTCCTCCTCCTTCTCCTCCTCCTCCTCCTCCTCCTCCTCCTCTCCTCCTCCTCCTCCTCCTCCTCCTCCTCCTCCTCCTCCTCCTCCTCCTCCCCCTCCTCCGCCAGGCGCGGCGCGCCGTCGGCGGAGCGCCGCGCGGCACGCGGCGGCAGCCCCGCCGCGGGGGGGTCGCCGCGGCCTCAGGGGGCGAGCCGGCGGAGGCGGCTGCAGGGCCGCGGCCCGGGGCTGACGAACGAACAACACACACCTATACCCATAAGGGGGTCGGTGGGAGGGGGACTGGCTGTGGGTATGGGTGCGGGTTGTCGGACCCTCGGGAACGCTCCCGTTCGAGCGGGGACCCCCATCCGACAACACGCACCCACAGCCCTTTCCGATCCCCCTATGGGTATGGGTGTGTGCTGTTGGTTCGTCGAGGGCCCCGGGAGCCGCAGCGGGAGTCGCAGAGGCGCAGCACGGCTCCAGCGAGCAGCGCGCGGAGCAGGACGCTGGCCAGAAGGTGGTGGCCTCGACGGGCCAAGTGAAGCACATCGTCGTGCAGATCCCAGGCCAGCGGCGGCACGACAGCCGCGTCGACCACGCGGGCGAAGAGCACAGCAGCTACGAGGAGCACTTCGGGGGCCGCATCAAGGACGCTGGCTCCGACCACTACGGCTCCAAGTGCGTCCCCGCGCTCCAAGTGCGTCCCCGCGTTCTGCGAGGACCCTTGGCCTGAGCTGGAGTCCAACCTCTTTGGTGTCGACGCCTTTGCCCCCACCTATCAGCAGGACGAACATCTCGGCGAGTTCGGCGGCATAGGTGGCAGCATGTGCGAGCATGGGTGGCAGTGGCAGCAAAGATTGGCAGGTGGCGTACCAACAAACACCATCGGCTACAGTGCTGGGACAGGCACATGCGAGAACGGGCAGCAGTGGCAGCAGTAGGAGAAAATCCACCCAATGCCATCATCTCCAGCTCTGGAAGCAGGACGTACGAGAACGGGCAGCAGTGGCAGCAAGCTCATTGCGAGGAGGCGTCACCAGCTACAGTGCGAGAGGCAGCCAGACCCCATCAGCTACAGCGCGAGAGGCAGCCAGAAGTGAAGGCCCCGTTGCAGCTAGACGTCATCACCTTCAGTACTCTGACCAGCTTGTGCAGATTGGGTGGAAGTGGCAGCAGGCAACGTGCGAGATGACGTCATCAGCCACAGAGCGAGGAGCAACCAGACGCCATCAGATCCAGTGCGAAAAGCAGTCAGAAGATGAAGCCTCGATGCAGCCAGGCGTCATCATCTACAGCAATGAGACCAGCTCTTGCGAGAATAGTCGGCGGTGGCAGCAGGCTCCGTGCGAGAAGGCGTCATCAGCCACAGAGCGAGAAGCAACCAGACGTCATGAGCTACAGCGCGACAAGCAGTCAGAAGATACGGCCTCTATGCAGCCAGACGTCATCAACTATAGCAATGCAAATAGCTCGTGCGCGAACGGACGGCAGTGGCAGCAGGCTTCGTACGAGGAGGTGTCACCCACTAAAATGCGAGAAGCAGCCAGCCATCATCAGCTACAGCGATAGAGGCAGCCAGAAGAGAAGGCCCCGTTGCAGCCAGACGTCATCAGCTACAGCACTTGGACCAGCACGTGCGAAAACGACCGGCAGTGGTAGAAGGCAACGTGCGAAAAGGCGCCAGCAGTAACAGTACGAGAAGCAGCCAGATGCCATCAGTGCGAGAAGCAGTCAGAAGATGAAGCCTCGGTGCAGCCAGACGTCATCAACTACAGCACTGGGACCAGCTCGTGCGAGAATGGACGGCAGTGGCAGCAGGCTTCGTGCGAGAAGGCGGCATCAGCCACTGAGCGAGAAGCAGCCAGACGCCATCAGCCACAGGGCGAGAAACAGTCAGAAGTGGAGGCCTCGATGCAGCCAGACGTCATCAGCTCAAGTAATCTGACCAGCTCGTGCGAGAACAGTCGGCACCGCCAGCAGGCTTCGTACGAGGAGGCGTCATTACTTACAGTGCGAAAAGCAGCCAGACGTCAATTCGATGAAGATGGTATTCTCGCCGCTGCCATGGACGACTTCCGTCAACACTGTGTCAGCCAAGCTCAACAGTTAAACTGCGAGGCCACTGTATCTTTCGAGCCGCTATTCGCCAGTGCTTAGCTCGTCGCCAGAGTCATTGTGAGAACCTTGTCTTGCGCACCATCTTATACGTTCCAAAGACTCGTTGACGAAGTCTCCACGCTCGGATTCTCGAGCACTTGGGCGGCGGCACTTGGATGATCACGGTCGCGTGGCGCGACCCAAAGGCCGTTATTTGTGCTTGGCAACCTGATATCATCAGCCCCGCTGCTGGGATCAACGCCCGCTAGACCACGCAGACTGTTGAAAACGACGCATCCCTCAAGAACGCGGATGCTGCGTCAGCAGCTGAAGACGAGAGTGAACATGATTTTCTTGTACGTTTCGTGCGACACAGTCTCGATTTACCAGTCTGGACCAGCATACTCACGGATGTGAACGTTGACGAGGCAGAGGCGGGGGGTCCCTCAGCCCACAATCGCCCTTCGCAGCGTGTCTTTGCATGGAGCGAGAGGCCTTGAGAGTCGCCCGTCGCAGCGTCTCGAGAACGCGTGTAGGCCCCGTTCCTTGCAGCAGCCGAAGCACGTTAGTACTACGACGTCCAGCTCGCCGGATTCGTTTTGGATCAGCTTCT